GCAGCTGGGCCTGCAAGTAGTCCGCCAGCGCCTTCTCAGAGGTTGCATCTTCTGGGAAGCCGTCCACCTAGCGAAAGGAAAGCGAAGGAGCTGCTGAAACTCGTGTTTTTTTGTAATGGTATTTTTGCTAAAAAGTTAGACTTTCAGTGGTTTAATACGGAAAACCCAATAGTTGGCAAAAAGTTAAAGTCCTAACATCAAAGCAAAATGCAGCAAAGGAACCATTGGGAGCCGACCTCCTTCATTTGACGTTGGGCAAAACTGGTTGCTGTGGATTTGTTCGGGCTTTAGGCTGCCAATTCTTTGAGCGGAGGGAGCCTCTTCAGTGCCCATGTCATTTCTTGCTGGTGCTCAGCACGGAACGAGGGAATGAACCTGGAGATTACCTTGAAGGTTCTGCCCTCATTCCCTGCTGAGCACTAGCAATGCTCTGATACATGAAATCCTGCACCACTTGAGAGAGCTTTTCCACATCCATGTGTTGCTTCGGGGCAATTGCGGATGTAATCTAGCTTCAGACTTCTGCGGTCCAGTTCATGGTCGGTGTCCTATGCTTGGGGTTCAGATGATGGGAAGGTCACATCTCCAGCGGCGCATGTAGAAAAAAATCACAGATGTGAAACACGTCTTCGAAAAAGATATAAGTCAGCGAGAATGTCTCTCTCTTGGTCCATGTTTAGGAAGGAAAATCCTGTCAGCTGAATTGACAAAGGAGATTCGGAGGGACTGCAGAAACACATCGCATCGACTTGTTCTCCTGGCAGCCATCGCCTACAACCTATGCTCTTCCAGGAAGCAGTGAACACCCAAGTTGTTGGGTTCGGATACAACGGGACAATGATTGGACGGGATCCTCCCAGCAATCAAGCCTCAGCGAAAGGGGGTCCCCACATTCCTCTTAAGTATTCCCGGACATGGAACCATAAATGATTCCAGGGGCCCAACCCCCTCCCTCGATTTCCATCTTTAATTTGCGGGGGTGCGGATCCCCCACCAAGTATCACAAGGAACGAGCCTGCTAGTTTGGGCAGACTTTTTTGCGACGCCGCAGGCGACCCCTCAGTTCCGCGCCAGCAGCGCGTAGTCGCGCATCTCCATGTGCCTTGGTACTTTTCTCAGCAAAACCATTTGTGGCAGAGCCCCCTACATCACGAGGAAACTCATCACTCGCCATAGATGTCCCTCTTGTGGAGCCTGGATTTTCTCTCTGGAAGTCGTGAGACCAACCAAAAAAAACAGTTGGGTTCCTGGATTGGACGTCTCTGCCGGAGCAGAGGCTCCGCCGCATGGCACTTAATTCGCGTCAAGAAGTCCAGGGCATTGGGAGGTTTCGGACCCAATCCGGTCAAGCGACCAAAGCGAAAGCAATGTGTACAAGCAATCCGTGCGACTCGTCAAAGCAATCGGCCCGGTTGTGCGTCCCAGGTTCTGTGATGCGAAACAGTCGATTTGGGTATGTGTCAAAATGGGGGGGGGGGGGGAATTCCCAACATAATGATTTTCCTGTTGGTTACCCTGAAAGAGGGTACCCTGAAAAAAAGCCTGTAGGAGGAGGTAATCCTGTTTGAGTCAATTCCATTCTTGAGGGGCCACGCCACAAAAAAATGAAAATAACAAATCGGACCGACTGAACTTGGAACTCTGAGCACTGCAGCTTGTCATCAAACTCGCGGGCGAAGACACGCTGCTGCTTGGCCTCAAGGACTGGTGTGGTTCTGTGGTTCCTTGGAACCTGACAATTCGGAATTTCGGGGTCCTGGTTTGGACCACTTTCCTTTAGAATGAACTCTCTGGTGGATTCCGTGCAAGTTGACAGGAGGGTACATCGCCTGGGCATCTTTTTGTTTTGGTTTGGGGGGTCCTTTTATAAAAAAAACACACACCCATGTGATCAGTTTAACACCCCAAGCCACGCGACATATTGGGATCGTAAAGGCTGGGCTCCCTGCAGGGTTTGGTTGGGAGAACGCCCCAAAAAGCCATTGATCAGGGGGGGTTCAATGGAACTTAAACAAGTAGGTGTCAAACCTAGTAAGCTTGGTTCAGCGAGTGATTCCACTTCCCTACTTAGGTAACCCAGGGCTTGACATCCTTTCCAAATCAAAAGGGTAAAATTATTCTCTCAAGGTTCTTCCCAAGCAGACCCACCCAGACCCCAAAGGCTTTGGACGGTGCCTCAGCACGAGCTTCTTTTGGCTGGTTCTTCCTCTCGGTTTTTCCGTCAGTTGTTCCGCGGGAAGCTCCGCGAAAGACGATTCCCGAGCCACGGGTCAAAGCTAAGGATATGGACAGCAAGTGTCAGTCCAAGTGAGAACCGTTTACCAGGGCAACCCATTTTGGGGGTACCATGTTTCTGACCCACATCCAACTCTTCCAGCAAAGGCTCCCTCATCTTCCCACATAAACACAACCATATGTGAGAAACCCAGTCTTCCGCGTCTCGTCCATGCAGAGTAAGTTCATGCCATGTTAGCCTGGACGCCTAAAGCAAATATATATATATATATATATATACACATATAAAGTTTAGCACAACGCCCTTTGTTGAGCTGTTTGATGCTGGCTGAGGAAAGCTGGGGCAACGTGATTGAACGGGCCTTGACTCCAGGTCTGAGGAGCTCACCTGGCCTCACTGCTTCCTTGTTCTCGTGGGTGCACCGTGTGGATTTCTGAGTGGCCCGTTGAACCCTAAGTCACAACCTGTTCGAAGATGTCATATAGATGGACCAAATCCATTTCGCAGCCGTTGGGATGGATGAATTTCCGTGAACCTGGGAGAAACCACCATCTGTTGCGAAACGGCCACATATTTTTTGCTCGAAACTCAGTTCCAAGTCCAAGGGTATGCTGGGTGTGGCTGGGAGACATATACATGACTCATCTGCTGGTTTCCAGATTTTTATTTATTTTTTGAATACCAATGCTGCCTGTGGCTGGAACTGGCGAGTGAAAAAACGGAGCACAAACGCAGACACGGGGTACCTGGACCCTCTGCCCAGGGAAAATCATTCCTATGTTGCGGACGTTCGGATAAACAACAGGATCCTAGTCAGGGAAACGCTTTAAGCTGGATCATCTGCCCAGGGCAACCCCTGCTCACTTCCAGATAAAGTCTATACTTTTGTTTACCACTCAAAAATTGTCTTCCCAAAAAGTCTAGTCCATGAACTGAGGGAGTGAGCCTGATTTCCGTCCGGAATCCGAAGTTTACTCGTCTTTTTCGGGGTGAGCCAAGGTCTTGTCACCCGAGTTCCCTGCGTGAAGCCAGTGGAACACCGTGGTCACCTCCGGCTGCTTTTCGCTGCGAGCGAATAAACGCGCTGCTTCGTATGGCTGTGGTTGTCAAAACCGTTTTGGTTGATCCCATTTTGGTTGGTACCAGTAGGTGAATTCAGCACCCATTTTAGAACCTATTTTAGGGGGGATTGGGATGTTCACTGGGGGTACGGGATTTTGACCCATGGCCATATTCTGCTCCCCTGTTAAAAGTTCAACTTTTAGTGGTTTAATGGAAAAACCATGAGTTGGCCAAAAAGTTAAAGTACTCAGGTTCCATGTTGATTGGTGGGTTGGTATTTCTCTGAAGATTTGATGGACCCTTTCATGTCATCTTTCATCCAGGACCCCTGTTTTGACAAGCATCCAGCTTTCTATGCCTCGCACACTTGCTGTGACGAAAAAATACGCCCACCAGCTAAAAACATGTCCACCCGAACGCGGCTTCCTACAAACAATCAGAAACATGTTTCTGTTTCATGTAGGAATCGGACCCCCGCAACATGGCATCGGTGTTCCTTTTGGTTTCCCGGACAACAACAAAAAACATCAAGCAAGAAGTATCCTCAAAGTACTCCCGTGGAGCCCTAATGGGGGGGGGGGTTCCAACCAACCCAAAAGGAGCTTGAGATCCTACAAATGGGTGTTTTTTAATTGGGCCCATGTTAAGCTGGGGAGTAGTCTTCCCTAAAATGTAAAATACTTGTGGAGCGCCGAATGTATGTTCAGCGAAACTAACCTAAACAGGTGACTCAACTGTGGGAGCCAAAAATCATATATTCATTTCATGTGCCACAGAAAGCCAACCTAAAGACTGGTGTTGTCTTAACATACGAGAATCCCGGCAAAGTGGTTGGACTCCCTTGACCTTCCTTCAACATCACCCAAAAAGGGTACCTCGCCTCAAACCACACCCCCGTATGGGTCTGTCTGTTTTTAGGGTACCCCCAAAAAGGGTTGGTTGAAAAGGAAAGCAATAGAAACCAGCCATTGTTGTGGTCCCCTTATTTTGAGACATACCCATATTGACTTCGCACAATGCAGGACCCCTTGTGGTATTCAAAGCCAACATTACTCCTGCCATTCCAGGCAGCGGGCCTACTCCTATTTGGAAAAAAACATCCATGTGCGCGTGTGTCATGTTTAAAAGGACACCCCAATATGGTGTATGTCCTTTTGGCTTCCCCTTAGCACTACTAAAAGGAAGAGGTGCCCTCAGATGCATGCAAAAATGAGACCCTACTTGGACGTTCGGCCAAGTTTGCATGTGGATAAGAAGGTTAATCCCCACATCCACGTGGGACTTATGAGTGGGGTACAACCGAACAGTTCCCAACAACTTACTCAGTTTCAAGCTCTTCTAACCCCCTCTTTCAGTGTCAAATATAGTATCACCATGAGCAAAAAGACCACTTGGCTATGAATTCCTTCGAATCACCTCTCTTTCTCTCCTGACGAAAATCACCAAAAACATACCATGGAGCCACATCTGCCCATTCTCTCCTAGGTCCTCCAGTAGAGAGGTTAGAATAAGGGTGCCAACTTTTTTCTGTAGTCCTGTTTTAGTAGGGGAACCCTCCCCCAAAAAAAAACACCTAGCTGGGGTGGGTCCCCCAGTCCTCCCAACCAAAAAGGGGTGCGAAAGGGCACCTAGCTGGGGGACCTAGTCTCAGCTCCAGGCGATGAACAAGCGCAGCAGCGCCCAGGCCCGGTCCACAGCCAGATCCTCTGCCTCGAAACTGAGCGTCAGACTCGAGGCGAAGGCTGCCCATCTTTTGTTGCTGGGTTTGATTTTACTTGGGTCTGCGATTCCGGTTTGCTTTCTGCTTGGGTGTTCGATTCCACAAGTTCGTAAGTTGTTGCTAACCGGCTAAATAGTTATAACCCACCAAAAGGAAACTCTTGCCATGTTGGGGCTCCCGTAAAAAAGAACACACCCTTCTTTTGGATTGAAAAGAGAGTCAAAGCGAACACCAATGTTTCGGGGATTCCCCCATGTCTTCTTCGCCGCTCCCCCAAATGCTTCTCAAAATTGGAAAACTGCGTATTTCCTGTCGGTCCCGTTTTAAAATCAGGGTGGAGGATACATGGGTGGGTCAAAATGGGGACCCCCCATCCAAAGAACAGGTGTTTGTACTGATTTCCTTTCAAACCTTGGACCCTGCCCTTCAGCACATTTCGCTTCCAATCGAGATCGGCCACAAAAAGTGAACCCTTCTGCTCAGAAATGGTCTGCCCAGAAAGTGATTGAAGTCCAGAAGCAGTCGCAGGAAAAACTCGATGAACAGTCCACCCAAATCCATGCGAAGAAACCCTTAACATTCATCTAACCGGGTTTTGCTTGTGGCTCAAAGCCGTGGGTTCTGTGCTGGCCCGAACAAGTTTGTTTGGACTGTCTTAGTGCGATCCACATTTGCGTCCACTGAGAATGGGGGGGGCGGTGGGGGGGTCCAACAATTGCCCGCCTTTTCACCACCATAAACTGATCATGTTAAACCATTCAAAACACCTCAGCCTGACAATTCTTGCAAGTTGTCCATCCTGAAGGCTGACTACATCATGAAACTAAGAACTACCACCAAGGGTGGTCGGACGAATTCGATTGATCTTCAAACCTGCATTCTCCTTAATTCTCTCTTGACCTTCTTAGGTGTTGATTGCAAATCTCGTGAACCACAGCCAAAGAAGGCCGCATTTGCCTCGCCATGTCCAGCTGTGACCAAACAAGTCTGGCGCAAATCTGAGGGCCACATTTTTGACTGTCCAGCAGTCCAGCTGTGCAAAAAAACACATGAGAATGGTGCTGTGCAAATCTGAGGGCACTGCCGCCTTCTGCACGCCCTTGCGATGGTCGAAGGGCAAGCACCTATGCTTGGCGAATGGGAAGAGTGGCCGGATGGTCGTGGAGAGCTCTCAAATACTCACAAAAGGAGAGCCAAGCTCCAGCGCCTCGTGTCTTTTGAAAACTCGAACATATAAGAACGACATCCGCAGAGACCAAAGCAACAAGCTACACGGAGCAGCTGCCTTCCGGTCGTCAGGGGTTGCACGCGCGCAGACACTTGAAACTCCCTGAGTTTGAGTAGAGGCCAACAGTTCGAGTAGGGTTTCTAGTACGAAGCTTCGGACAAATGCTTCAAGGCGATTCGGAGACAAGCTGCAGAGTGGCTACGTTTGGTTTCCCTCTTTGTACTTGAGGAAAAAAAACGAGAAGCAACATCGATGGGGGGGGGGGCCAAAAGGACTTTCACGAGCAGGCGCAGGAACTGAAGTTCCAAGGCCCCGTCACGCACACCACAACCCACACATCTCATAGTGTATAGCGCACACCACACCACACTCCACACAAAAACTCACCGGGCAATGCTGCGGACCACACCATACCAAAACATAACACAAAATGCACCACGCAACAATATGCCACAAAACACACCACATCACAGACCACAAAACACCACACCACACCACGCCTTACCTACCACCACACCACGCCTGCCATATCACACCGCACCATATTGGACAAATATCATATCGTACCACACGTCCCCTCACACGAGAAAGCCACGACACACCACAAAACAGACCAAACCACTCCCCAACACACCAAAAAACACCATGCGACACTACACCCTACAACAAAACCACACGGCCACAAACAAACTTCACAACACAAAAACACACACGCGCACACTACACACACAAACACACAAACACACAAACACGCAAACACACAAACACACAATCACACAAGCACACAAGCACACAAGCACGCAAGCACACAAGCACACAAGCACACAAACACACAAACACACAAACACACAAACACACAAACACACAAACACACAAACACACAAACACACAAACACATAAACACACAAACACACAAACACACAAACATACAAACACACAAGCAAACAAACACACAAACACACAAACACACAAACATAAACAAACAAACACACACAAACACACACAAACACACAAACACACAAACACACAATCACACAAACACACAAACACACAAACACACAAACACACAAACACACAAGCACACAAGCACACAAGCACACAAGCACACAAGCACACAAGCACACAAGCACACAAGCACACAAGCACACAAGCACGCAAACACACAAGCACACAAGCACACAAGCACACAAGCACACAAGCACACAAGCACACAAGCACACAAGCGCACAAGCACACAAGCACACAAGCACAACACACACAAACACACAAACACACAAACACACCAACACACCAACACACAAACACACAAACACACAAACACACAAACACACAAACACACAAGCACACAAACACACACACAAACACACAAGCACACAAGCACACAAGCACACAAGCACGCAAGCACGCAAGCACACAAGCAAACAAGCACACAAGCACACAAACACACAAACACACAAACACACAAGCACACAAGCACACAAGCACACAAGCACACAAGCACACAAGCACACAAGCACACAAGCACACAAGCACACAAGCACACAAACACACCAACACACAAACACACAAACACACAAACACACAAGCACACAAGCACACAAACACACAAACACAGAAACACAGAAACACAGAAACACAGAAACACAGAAACACAGAAACACACAAACACACAAGCACACACACACAATCACACAAACACACAAACACACAACCACACAAACACACAAACACACAAGCACACAAGCACACAAGCACACAAGCACATAAACACACAAGCACACAAGATCAAACAAGATCACACAAGATCACACAAGATCACACAAGATCACACAAGATCACACAAGATCACACAAGCACACAAGCACACAAGCACACAAGCACGCAAACACACAAGCACACAAGCACACAAGCACACAAGCACACAAGCACACAAGCACACAAGCGCACAAGCACACAAGCACACAAGCACAAAAACACACAAACACACAAACACACAAACACACAAACACACAAACACACAAGCACACAAGCACACAAGCACACAAGCACACAAGCACACAAGCACACAAGCACACAGACACAAGCACACAAGCACACAAGCACACAAACACACAAACACACAAACACACAAACACACAAACACACAAGCACACAAGCACACAAGCACACAAGCACATAAACACACGCACACGCGCACACACGCACACACGCACGCACGCACAGGCACGCACGCACCCACGCACCCACGCACCCACGCACTCACGCACACGCACACACACACACACACACCACACAACACCGCAAAACATACAGCACTACAAAACGTCATTTAATAAGACATGACACAAAACCCACCACGCCAAACACACACCACACAACACAACACAACACTTGCAATACAGCACTACACACGGTTCTAGGTAGTTGACATTTCCCTCGCTCGTGTGAATGCGAGTGCTAGGAGCGTGGCGCAGTTTGGATCACGTCCTGCCGAGCTCAAGCTTCTCTGTCAATGCCACTTGGACCCCATCCCAAAAAGGCCCACCTCCGTAGTGAGGTGGTTTCTTCCCCGAAGCGAGCCATAGGCAAATGCATCCTTTTGAAGCAGTTGGCTCAATTGACTGTCAAACCTGGAAACCCTGAGATGTGCAAGAGGGAAATCAGACCAACACGGGTGGGTCTTTATCTGGGAGACCCCGAAACATGGCAAGGGTTGCCTCAAAGGCACACTCACAGAGTCGCTTGGAGGGCTCCTGGAGTTTCATACCCAGAGTGTATTTTGCCTTGCTTCCCACATATACGGCCCACAGGCAACGCGAGCCGGCAGCGCGTGAAAAAGACCGCTGGAGACGCCATTCCCGAGCCAAAAGAGGATACACAGCTTCCTCAGCCAAGTTGCTGCCACGGAATGTCAAGGCACGGTCTAACCTTGTCTAGGGGTAATTCAGCGCTCTTGAGCTCCCCATTAATCAGGTTTTTAAATGGTCTCTTCTTGGTTCCCCTAGAATCTTGAGTGGATGTGCCAAACAAGTCCACTTTTGTTCACTCCCCGAATGTAGCTAAGTTCCTTCCTACAGCAGAAGATCCTGAGTAGTAAGGTCCTCCGTATTCATCCGAGATTAACATTACTAAAATGGTCTTCCCAGCTGTACTGTACTCTCTTCCGATGTGAGCTCTTCGTTCGCTCCAATAGATCGAATACCTGCCATTGCGCAACATCTTTCTTGGACCAAGGCCAAAACCCAAAGCAACAGGCCTACCATTGCTGGGACAATGATACTATTTGTCTGGCGATGGTTCTTGGACCCTATCAAGCTGGTCTGTATCACACCTGTATGCAACCCCAATTCCTTTAGACTGCTCCCAATCGCTTTGCATCCGGCCAAATTCCCCCCCCCCTGGACTAGATCAACAATATCCTAGCTAAAGACAGGGGAGCGGCTCCCGCAAAGAACTACTGTCGGTTCGAAACGCTCGTCCTGGGGAAGCACGTTTCAAGAGGCCATGGGACAGTTGTGTTGTGGTTATTCCCCCCATGCTCTCCCCAACAGGTGTTGTGCCAGTCTTTGGGAACCAACACGACATGACCAACATTCAGAATCCCAAAGTTGCCTTTTGGTCGATTTGGGTTGGTTTAAAAGGACACCAAAAGGAAACTAACATGGTGGTAACCTGAAAAGACACACCAATTGACCCTGAATGTCTAACAAGGACGAAACTCAGCGCACATCTCTGTGGTTCTCAGCTTCGCGGCAGAAAGTTCAGCATGGCATTGCAGTAGAGCGGAAATCCCACGCCTGTCATGAGGCAGATTTCGATCAGATTGGGTCCAGACAGGCTTTGCCTTACCCCAAAATCTGCCACGAGTTTGGGAAACCGGGGTCGAAAGGTCTGAAGAACTAAAAACCCGACTCGGGCAATGAGCACCTGAGGAACTTCCAACTTCGGAACCTTGGGGAAATTCAAAATCTCTCATCCTCTGTGGGTTTGGTCCGGTGAAGCTCCAGCGTACTTTTACATGTCGACCTAGGCATCTCTCATCTTCTGGAGGTCCGGTTCGTCCCATTGATTTCTCAGATGCCCAGCGGCCACGGAAAAAAAGGCCATCCGTTTTTAGTTAGTTGAGTTAAAAAAAGGGCGCCACTGGGCAGCTGGGTGATGGTCAGTAGTAATTACACATGCCTAAAGCCTTGTATTCCCGCAGCACCCGCCTACAATGTTCAAGGAGAAGACCTGTAGACGGGTGACTCTCACCACGTCCTTCGCACTCAGCGGATATGCCTCGGCAAAGCAAGGGCTTTGAATCAGGTTTCACCCTGATGCGATTGCAAGAGAACAAGGAAACCAAATGAGTATGGGTCAAAATTCAATCACCAGGAATTGGACCGCAGGTTTTAGTCCTTGTTTCCATTTACCAGGGTTCCATTTTGGGTACCCATTTTTGACCCGCACCCAAATGGGCGTTGATCAAAAGGTCCTTTACAAAAGCAACATTGACCAACCCCGAAATGTAAATTCCCCGCAGCTTTAGGGTATCCACCTAGTGCTGCGGATGCATGAAATCCACGCCGATCGGCACCAGCTGGGATGGATGAACCACCTATCAACTGGCGCCGAGCGGCCTGGATTCGTCCGTTCATTGCATCTTGGCCAATTGTCAGTTAGTGTCAAACTACGGGAACCCCCCCCCACCGCCCTCCCCCCCAAAAAAACACAACAACAACAACAACAATATATGTATATATATATATATATATACACTCTATATGTATATATGCAAGAACTCTGAGAGAATGGTTTTCCTTCTTTTCTAAACGCCAGGGGCCAGCCAATCCCAGCCCCGGGCTTCGCTCCGAGCATCGCCGAGCTGGGGCCCGTGGCCCGCCAGGTCTCCTCGAAGTTGTTGTTGTAGCTGTCGTTGGGTATGGCCTCGCTCCGGCCCGGCCGAGGCCCAACGTCCCAAAAAACCTACGTCTCCCATAAAAGCCACGTGAATCCCGGCCCAAGGTCCCAACACCCACGTGAATCTGGGAGATGTTTTTTTGGGTTTTTTTTTGTCCAGGGAACCAAAATGAGTGAAGTCCCTGATGACTTTTTGAGACCCCCAAAAAAGAGAGAAGGCCTTCCTGTTAAAGATTCCGTTTAAACAATGCCACAAAAAAAAAAAAGGATGCGGCCAAAAAAACAACCGCAGGCGATGTGTTTTTGCGAGGCTGTTTCACGGACTCTTTCCTCCAGAGTCTAGAGAGTTGTTCCCTTTTTGATTGGCCTTTGTGATGGTGGTTTGGAGGTTAGAGGGCAACCTTCCCAATTTTTCGCAGCATGTAGGGATTAAACCTGTGGTCCCATGGTGGTTTAATTTTGACCCACAGCGTCACATGGGTTGCCCTGGTACATGGAAAACGAAAAAGCCTGCGAAACTTACGGCCCTGGCTGCGTGGCACTGCACGTGGTGGTCCTCCGCGGAGCGCACCATCGCCTGGTACGTCTTGCTCTTCTTTTCCTGGCGCTGAACTCACTTAGCGCTGAGAAATCGGACAAACCGCAGAAAACCCAGGGAGACCTTCAAAGCTGCCAACTGATTTGGCTATGGGTCAAAACCGTTTTGGTTGATCCCATTTTGGTTGGGATCGGTGAATTCACCACCCATTTTAGGACCGATTTTTCCGTAGGGATTGAATCGGATGTTCCCTGGGGGTACGATTTGGATTTCGACTTTTTGGACCCATGGCCACCTGGAAGTGTGGAAGTACTCACTTAGTGTTGACCCAGGATCTAAGTAGACCCGTCCCTTTAGGGGGGTGGGGACCTCTCCAAAAGTGGTCTGAATCCCACTAAAAGGGGACACCACCCTATGAATCAACCAGGGGGGTATTAATCCGGGGTTAACATTATCTGGAAGTACTGTGGAGGGTTGCGAAGTCCGTTCGCACCACCTGAGAAGCCGTGGTTGAAGCCATTGTTGGTTGGTATTTACGGGGGAATCGGATTATTCCAAGGCACACAGTTTGGATCTGGACATATTCTTGCGAGTGGGATGGGGAATGGGACATGGAATGACCTTGGAAAAAGAAAAAAACAGAAAAAGACACCTCCAACCGGTGGCTTCCAAGCAGCTTGGACCTGCACATCTTCTTGGGAGGGGGCGATAGGGGAATGAGAAATGACCCCGAGAAAAACCCTGCAACTGGTGGTTTCCTACAAAATCCCCATCAGGTTCATGCCCACTTTCCCTACTGAGCACCAGCAAGTATTTCAGATGATCTTGGGTCCACTGAATGGTCTGTCCAGGTCGATTCGTTTTCTGAAACGAAATGCCCGAAGCAGCTTGCGAAAAACAGATTTCTGAGTCCAACTTGGGATTTCGAAGGGGAGGTCAGCCAATACGACACGATGCAACACGAGTTCCACAGAAAGATGGCCAAAAAGGGAAGGGTTCTAGCGGTGGAACGCATTTGTGTTGTCTTTTGACGGTTCCTGCTTGTTTGGGGTTTCAAAGGGAAACCAGAAGGAAACCACCATTTTGGAGGGGTCCCCTAAAAAAGACACGCCCATTTCCCGTCCCTAACCGCGACCTGCGGGAACCCACCCAAACAGTTCTAGTTTGGTCGCTTGCGGGGTTGAAACCAGAGGGCAACCTGAAGCATGCAATCCCTGGACTTGGGGGTTGCCCCAAATTCGAAGACGAGAAACCAAAGGGGAAATAATCATCTATGGGTTCACGTCTAGCCACCTCTGAAATGTAGATGTCCCAACTCTAGATGGGTCTGTAGCTTGCTAGTTGGAAATGAGGGAATGAGGGAATGAGGGCAACCAACCTTTTTTGGTTTCCCAGGTTCATTCCCCCTACTGAGAACCAGCAAAGTAAAGCAAGCTCATGTCTGTCTTTTTTTTTGAGGCTACTATTTTGAGAGCATCCATGAGACACACCCCGCTAAGACATGCCCGAGTGTTCCCAACAGCTCCCTGAAAGCTTTCAGAGGGAGCCCTGGAAGCCGCCGATTGCATCTTAACACAAAGTCTTGAAGAAACAGACCCATGTGGTCTGTCTTTTCTTGAGGGCATCCGCTTTCTTTTTTTCTAGGAAAATCAAAAAGGACAGCTCTTTCTCTGGTTTTAGAACCACCGCATCAGGCGTACATCTTCTATTCACGCCTGGGACACGAACAACAATGTAAGAAGAGAGTCCCCTTGCCTCCTACGGCCAGTTGACTCTTCACCCGAGAATTTGTTTTTCCCGGAATCGATTGGAAGCGCACATGAAATGGGCCAAACAGGCTTGTTTAAGAAACCGCCAAGACTATAGAGGTGTGTCCCATCTGCAAGTTTTCGAACTCGAAATCCGCGCGAAGTGCCTTCTGCCAGTGCCAGAACCAGAAGATCGCGAGGCAGATGATGAAGACGACACCCAGGCACATGACGGTATTGACAAACCAGCCCTCGGTCAGCACACAATGTGAGACGACAGCCAACAAAGCAAATCCAGCGCTTGCACGTTCACAGCGAAAACAAGCGGGTCATGTTTTGCTAGTGGCATGCTTGCGAGTATCCTCTGAATGGCGGTTTCAAGGAAAACCACCTCCATACAAAATTATGATAGCCAAATGCAGTGTAGCTGAACCTTTCCGAATCCTCTGAATTTGCAGGTTGACAGGCTCTCACTCTTCCTTTCCCAAACACAAAGCGGTCAAAAGCTGCCAATCTCCGGAGTGAAACTTGTGCTTTTTGGTTAGATCCAACTCCTGAAGCAATCCACACGTCCACGGCTACTGAATGGGTCACCAGTACGGCTTCCAACCTTCGGCTCCTTTCGGATTTAACGGCGGAAGGGTTGCTTTGGTACATGGAACCAAGGATTCTCCTTAAGAGATCAGAACCTGAGTACCCGATGCGCCACTCAGGCTCCGGCAGGGGCGGTGGGCCTGAGCTTCCGACCGCAACTTCCGACCGCAACTCTGCCCTGAAGGGGTGGGCCAATGGCCTTTAAAGGATGTGTTCAACCCACATGGCTGTGGGTCAAAGCAATGTAAATCTGGTGAACATCAAAAAATAGGTGGTATACATGAGTGTTCATCCGCCCCAAAACGGAGGCATAGGTTATGACCCATGGCCACATCGTTTTAGGAGCCTTGTGGTTTCCGTTCAAGGAAAGGGGCTCGACTGCTTCAGCCAGCTTCCAACTCTGATGCACACCCTCCTTACTACGGGGGAAAAAACAAGCTCAAGGGGTGGTAGCCAGACAGTCTTGGGTTAGGGCTGCCGGACTACGGGGCGTACAAACCAACCTCACCTGGAGATCTTGGATCTGCTCGCATTGCCTTGCAATGCTCAAAGTCACGCAAGACTTTCTAGGACCCTCCCCTCCAACTTCTGACTTCTTTGACAAGTAGGCGGGGAAATCATGGGCGTGTCTTTTTGTCAGGTTACCCTTTTTGGCGCAACGGGGAAACCATTCTAGGGGTACCTTCCCCGTTCTTTGCAGGGATCCTTCTTCCCAGAAAACCTCCAGAAACCCGGGAAAAAAAGCCAGGTTCTTGAAAATAACGATGATTGACTAGAATGGAAAAGGACTCAGCCCCTACCATAAGGAACCCCTCCATTTGGGAGTCCGATTTCCTGCAAAAAAAATCGGGCCCTGCGCCACCGGATCCGATCTTTGGATCTTTTGGGGCGCCTAAGGCCTTGGCGCCACCTCATCCTGGATGTTGTCGCAAATGATCTGGTTGCACTCGTCACCTGGCTGGCTCCCAAAATGGGAGTTCCACCTACCCCAAATGGCACCGAGAGGGGCCTTTCCAACTATGAAAGTGACGTTTTGGAATTCGGAATCAAAAATGGGAGTTCCACAAACTGGCACCTTTCCTCCATATTGTTGCATGATTGTTGGAGGGAGGGTGGATCAACCCCAGCTTATGAATAGGGGGCGGGGTCCCCTCCAAAAGTGGTCTGATTCCACACGAAACGAAATGGACACCCCCTATTAAAGACTCGGGCTAACACCTGCGGATTGCCCCGGCTGCTTGATTTCTGGGCTGCCCGATTTCCGATCCCCCGCTAAAAGTGTAACTTCAAAACAGGGTCCCTTCTCGATTTTGATCTTAGTTTCAATCGGACATTCAAAACTCCTGCTTTTCCAGGGAAGATCAAGGCTGTGGTTCATCTCATGGAACTCACTGGTCCACAAATCAGAAGCCGGACGAGCTGCCCCATATGTTCGACCGGCTCCAGACACCCCGCCTGCGGTTCTTCCGTTTTTTTGCCCCGGCAAGTTTCGCGAGGTACGTGTGGGTGGCTCCAAATCTTGGTGGCTCCCAGCCATCCGGTTCCTTAGCCTTTTAGCTTTTTAGTGTTTAGTGGTAGTTTCCATTTAACCCACCTTGGAAGACCATGGTGGACAACTAGAAACTTTGTAAAAACAAAAACAACTCTGGCACGTGTCACTGCCGCGCAACTGGGTGTGTTTGCTTTTAGGGCTCGGACCCCAAATTCGATCTTATCCTTTCAGCTTTCCTGCCAAACCATCCCAAAAAAGGGGCAGCACCAACAAAAGAAGGGGAACTGGAGCCTCTTATTCCAAGTAGGGCACCCCCAATTTTGCGGGAGCTGTGGCGTTGGCTCCAACCCGCCTGGGCTTTTCTGATATCCTGCTCAAAGTTCCTCACTGTTTGTGTGAAATACGGAAACCCCACCACTAAACCAATAAACAACACCTAAACCACACCAAGTTGAGCCGGACGACCGGTTCCGAACCGCCCAGACAAATTGGTCCCAAACTGGCCCCAATGCTCCACTCCAGCGGCTGCGAACCGAGCGAGCGATCTCAGGAGCTGGCAGGAGGTGTTGACCAACTGAATGATGCCCACGCCCAGGATGATCTGGAATTGGTATACTCAGTTGCTGAAGGGACCTAGAAATTAACAGGCTCACCTTTTTGGACCATGGCTACATATGGAACCAGAATTGAAATTCCAAAAGGTCAACAGGTCGGCTTTGAACAACTGAGTATATTATCAGGACTGTGGGAAACAACCACTTCTGTGATAATTCCAAAAAAAAGTATGTCACAGGGATAAACCCCTTACTCCCACAACCCAGGGAACAACCATGGCACAAGGGGGGGGCTGATCAAAAGGTCCATACATTGGATGACCGTTGGTTGGAAAACCACTAGTGATATTTCCCAAGAACTGGGACAGTTGCCCATGGGCATGTGGGGGCCAGAGGGTCTGTCAGCTTTGCAAACAACCCCTTGTTTGGTGTCAAAGGGAACCAACAGGAAAACCACATTCATTTGTGTTCTTCCCTTTTTTTTGAGGGGCCGGGGCGGGGAGGGGCAGGTCCCGCCAAAGAAGACACACCCATCTGAGCCAAAACCGAAGCTTTCCTTCTTGCTTCTCTTCAACAAAAGGGTACCCTTCGCCTCAAAAATCGCTCTTCCCGAGGAAAACCCAAGGAATGAGTTCAATACGAAACCCCAAGAATCTTTGGTTAAAATCTCCTGCTTTCTGATCCAAAGGCCATCAAATGGCTTGCACACGCTGTGATTGAGACTTACTAGATGCATGGTTCTTATTTAATGGTAGTATCGTCTTGCTCCCCCAACATGCTGTCCCTATAAACCAAACCCAAAAAGGACACCCTGAAGAAAAACACCACCATTTTTGTACCCCTCCCCATTCTTCGTTGGTGGTTGAGGGGTAGCTGTCTAAATCTCCTCAGTGCATGAGCCCCACTAAGCCCGAGTGAACGCGGCTGTTGACCATGATTGGTTGATCTGAAACTAGGGGGAACTACAAAAAAAAATGCGGGTTTCCCAAACATCTAGGCACATATGTCATCCCAAACTAGGATCTCACTCCCAAGAAAAGAAGAAGGAGGACTCCCCAACTCAGTTGCCCCTTACAGACTCAGAACCAAAAGGTGATCACCTTTTGGAGCCACTATATAGGTTTCAACAGGGGGAATGTCTTTCAGACAAATGTCAGATTTCTAAAGGTCGATTGCATTGTTTTTTCCTCAAAACAAAAATATCATTTTGTTTTATTTTAGCTTTTCTTGGTATATATATATATAAACAAAAAACAACCACAAAAAAACATATTTAGACAGCACACAACAAAATATACTTGTTTTAACTTCGCGCTTATTCACACAACCACAAACAAAGAAACAACATCGCCTTGGTTGCAAGTCGTTGACGAAGTCTCGGAGCCCCGGCCCCTGTCAAGTAGAGCAGCAGCACCTCCATTCCCTGGCTGAAACCCCGCGTAGGCTCCACAGGCTTCTTGGGGAAAAATCTGAAACAAGCCATGGTTAGATGCCACCAGATGGCCAGGCTTTCTTGGGAAAGGGGCCATATTTCCAAAGGCAAACAAAACGCTAGTACACCATGTACACTGCGGTTGAAACCAGCGGCTTTTTGCAACTTTGTGGTGTCCGGAAGCCTGGCCTTTCTCCGACTATCAACCTTGAGCTAAACTCAAATCAGAAAACATGAAGTGCGAAGATAGGAGATGATAATGTGGATGGTTGCGAAATCCATTTTGCACCAATGAGAAACCCTGGTTTTCAGTTTCTAATCCTCTGTATATACTGACAAACAATATTTTCGACCCTGAATTTCGCCCATCCACAGCAGCGCCATCCTATATTCCCACTACTCTATGCTTTGGCTTTAGCCCAATATGAGTCAACTACCCTAGTCGCCTCGAATTTTCACGCTGGGCACGACTGTCACAAAGCCAGAGGCTTGTCTCAGCTAAAAACCGATCATCGACGGCTGTTGCGCCATTCAACTGTCCAAAGACTCAGACTCATAAGACTCTGAAGACTCTTAGGAGCCGGTCAACCCGTTGTGTACAGGGTAATCGCCAAGAACGAGCGACTGCAAATGATGGGAAATGGATCTGCGAGATCTCGCGGGTTTTCATGGCAAACTCCCACACTCCCAACTAACATTCTCTGGTGCACATGTGGCCCCTTAAGAGGAAAGTCGTCTTACTACCGAAATCTTTCTATTAGGAAAGGTGTCTTACAGCTGACCTCCGCAAACCAAAGGAAACTATCGCCGGGAGCAAACCGGTCTTCGAGAGAGCCGTCACTTGCTGAGGCGGTAGAGCAGCGCGAGGCCCGTCGCCGCCAGGGCGAGCGTGGCCACCATGACGCCGTTGTAGGGGTTGGACCCCGTGGCGTGGCTGAAGTTGGCAGGCTTCAAGTGCTCCGTGCCTCGGATTCGTCGTGGGACGTGTACCCCCCTCAGATGACAAGGGAAATTGCCCCAAAGGAACCCCCAAAGCAACACCAAACTGGATTTCTGGACCAGCACCCGATTTTCCAGTGCACCCCCCTCATATGACACGGGAAATGACACCAAACTAACCTCGGTGGCTTTCTGCTCTGCTACAAGTTTAACTTTTATTGGTTTAATGGAAACCCATTAGTTGGCAAAAAGTTAAAGTCCTAACATCCAAGCAAAATGCACCAAAGAGATGACACGGGAAATTACAGCAAAATAACACCCAAAGCAACACCAGACTAACCAGGTGCTGGCCGGAAATCGCCAAGAATAGGGTGATTTCCAAGAGGGGGGCAATCCCAGGGTGAAAAAGGCCAGCCCTTGGACACATGTCAACGTGGGGTTTTAGGGAAATTATATGTCACGTTCGGTGTCATCTGTGGCCAACACATATTTCAGTACACACACACACACCAAACGTGCATGAGTTTTAAAAGGGAATCTCCACGTGGACATAAATCCCTATTGAATTCCGATGCCCACCATTTCGGATCTCCTAATGCACAAGAACATATCCCAGTGGATCCCAGTTACGTACAGTAGGCAACCAGGTTTTTAATTTAGGTTTCAATGGGTGGTTCCCTTGGTTACCCACTATACAGGGAAAATGGCCCAAATGAAACTCTCGAACATGTGTTTGAAAAAAAGGAAGGAAACCACCTACGTATTCTCAGGATTCCGATGTGTTTTTACTTGAAAGTCTAGAGTTCACGAGTGCCCAAAGGCGGATCACAACTTTTGACTTTCCCATGTTGGTCCATGTCATGGACCCAAAACGTTAACCCTTTAATTCTGGGTCCAAACTGGGCAAGTGCGAAATTGTCTCACAGGAAGCCAACAGGAAACTTGTCTTGTTTTAAGGTTGGATCCGAATGGATTTCGGTATTCCTCTTGGTTTTCCTATTCAAACAACAACTAAACTAAAATCGGGGAGAAACAAGTTCCCTTCAAACAACGACGCACACATTTTGAGACAGCCCCCCAAAGCCCCCACCCCCCCACACTCTTCCCCCCCCAACCCCACACGCTTTCCCCCCCCCCCACCACCCACACTCCTCCAACCACCCCTCCACCACCCACACTCCCGCCACCTACCCCCACATCCACAAAATTCCCAACCCCCCCCCCCCCCCGTTTTCTGCCCCCGGCGCCGTACCACGCCGCCCACTCCACGTGCTCCGCTGCGCAGGTGGCGCCCCCGGAGGCCAAAGACGCCCGCTGCAGCTTCCGCGCCGCCTGGCGGTAGGAGTCGCTGCCCAGCACCTGCCACCCGAAGAAAAAAACAACGGCGAAGCGCCAACATGGATTTGTTTCACAAAAACTGGAGCCCCCTATTCAAAGTAGGACACCCCATTTTTGGTTTTTGGGGGAACTTGTAGTGGGTTGATTCTCTGATTCCCTGCTGGGCACCAGCAAGTTGACGCCAAAATCAAATTCTAACATGGCCCCACCCAAATTTCCAAGCACTGCGTTTTTGTTTGGGAATTCTGAGTTTGGACATGGTTGAAAAAACAGAATGGGGGGGTGGATGCTGGGTTTATGTAAGCCTAGGTAGAACCACCTATGTGGCCAATGGGCAGTCTTTGGGGGGGGGGCACGTAAACCGGCCATGGTCAGGAGGTTGCAAAACACCGAGCACCAGCAAGTTTAAAGCTCATTTAAGGGGTAAGATACGGGTGGGTGTGCCTTTTTCGAGGATACCCTTTTCTTTTTGGAGTAGCTTTGAAGGGAAACGGGAACAAACACCCTTTTCGGGGTGCCCTTTCCGACACACCCAAAATTGGCACCCCAATTCAGGTGGATTCCCCATGGGTCAAAATAGGGGACCCAACAGGTCGATGGTCTTCCTGTTGGTCTCCCTTCAAACCAACCCAAACATACTGGTACCTTCAAAAACTGAACACGAATAAAGGTGTTCACTCAAAGTAGGTTCCCTTGTTCCCTCCGAGTGGTGGTCGGGCTGTTCCAGACGTTTCCTGGGACTTATTCCCAAACCACCGCCTACCCGAGGAAGGGTGTCGGTGTTCGCAGACTTAGTAGGTTATGACCATGCATGTAAGGGGACCAACCGCAGTTGCACGAGTTATAATCATGCTTATAATTTGTGTGCTTCGTTCATGGTTCATAGGGTTGGTTCAGGAAATCGTCAATCCACAGTATGAGTGTATAGTTGTTGACAGTATGCTTTCCTCCACGCAAATACTTCAGACAACCATGAACTGAGTACACAAGTAATAACCAACTATTTCCCTCGACGTTCCCCCATCTCCTTTTGGTGTCCGGTTGGGCAAATTAGACATTCTGGGCTATTTGTATGGGACATAGTATTGGGAACCAGGGGTTGCTAAACTCTTAGCCAGCTCGAGCATGCAGGCATTGGATTTCATGTTACTTTGCAAGAGCTTTAACCACCTCCTTTGGCTGGGCCAGGGGTTGATGGTGTAAACACGTCTGTTTCACAGCCCAGTTCAGCCAACCCCCCCAAAAAAAGAAGGCTCCTGGGACAAAGTCGCAGTCTCTTTCACTACTTTTCTGTTGGCATTTTTCCAAGGGGCATCTCCCCACAGAAAGCGGCAAACAAAACCCAAAGTTTTTGGCGACCACGCCTTGGTCACTGCCTGGTACACGGAGTCCGCGGTCATCCAGCCCTCCTTGTAGGGGTTCTTGACGCCCTCAGTACCCTTGGGGATTCTTCCGATGAGCTCTCCAACCCCGGCATTCTTCAAGAGGTGAGCATTCCTTCAATGTTCAAACCCAAACCTGATTAAAATCTCAGTTTAGAGGACAAAGATGCCCTTGGGCCAACCCAAACACGAAAAAACAACAGGTTTGGTAAAAACCCAACAACACACAATACATGGATAAAACTCCCGATCTGCCGTTCAGATTCTCCGGCTGATCCCCGAAGAAGGGGATGGCCACGATGGGCTTTCCGGCGCTCAGAGTCTCCAGCGTGCCACCCCAACCGCAGTGGGTGATGACCACCTTCACCGCCTCAGGCTGTCGTGGCGACAAATCCCTGAACCCTGAAAAACCCCAAGGAAGCCTAAGGGATTTTATTAAGGCACCCTCAGGAACCCTAAGGAACCCTCAGGAACCCCAAGGCACCCTAAGCAATTCTAAGGAACCCCCTAAGCTGTCATGGTCCAGGAGTTTAAGGGGGCTCCAAAGATCCCTCAACTCACTTCTGATCGAGTGGATGGCCAAACACATTTTACGAACCTTTTCTTTAGCACCAACATGGTCCAGCCCCAGAAAGTAGAAAGTTCAAGAACTCAGAAAGTGAGTGAACCCTAAGGAACCTATAGCCAGCCCAAAGAATTGAGATCCATGGGAATCCGCGCCCTAAGATCTTGTTGATTTACATGGGGTTTCCAACTACAAAACAAAGTCAAAAGAAGGGAATTGAACAAACAAAGAGCGCCCTTTTCTCTCGGTTGCTTTCGGCTCCCCTGCCGGAAGTTTAACTTTTAGTGGTTTAATGGACAACCCAGTAGTTGGCAAAAAGTTCAAGTCCCAACATCCAAGCAACATGCACCAAAGTTCTGTGTTTGATTTGAGCGGAGTTTCCGTCCCTTCAAAGCCGGAACATACACCCGCAACTGATTGGGCACCTGGGAAAAGTCAAATCAGAAAAAGGGGGGCATGGGCGCCCTGCCTCGTCTTGCAGCAGCTCCGCTTGAGGCGTCCATTTGCTGATCAAAAAGTCGGAGTTCTGTTCCGGCAGAAACTTCTGGAGATCCTCCATGATTTCCCTTGCTTGGTTGACGTTGGAAGGGGAACATAAATTTAAGTTTTAGCAGTTAAGTGGGGAGTTCAACCACTAAACCACAGTATGCAAAAATGTGAAATGTTTCCCACCAACAATCATGCTTGGGGAGGTTAACGGCTACCTGGCCGTTGTTTCGCATAGTTCAACCTGGGACATGCATCTTTCTGATTCCCATCTCTGTGAGCAC